CAATCCTTTCTCCTGTTTATCCCATCAGTGTTTTGGGCATAAACATGTACCTGACATGTTTTTCAAGCCACTAGAGTTGAGATTTGAACCATGGTTGACCATGTGGGATTTGGTTCCCTATGCACATGGATAAATTGTTAAGTTATAGGGCTGGCTCTAAAATGGCTTTATTTTCTTTTTTACTTTTTTTAAAAGAGTTATTTATTATGATAATTTGCTATAGGACACATACACACATGCATGAGAGAGAGAGAGAGAGAGAAAGAGAGAGATAGTGAGAAAGCGAAAAAGCAAGCTGCCAGGTCTGGAACTTGAACTATGGTTGTCATTGTGGGAGTTAACTGCCTTAGCCACCATGCCACCTGCTGACCCACTAAAGTGACAGTATTAATTAATATCAGGACTAGCTCTTTGATAGAGCATTCATGTTACATTGTCTGTGGCAGAGTTTTAAAAACTTTGTAAAAACTCTAGAATATGGACATCTTTAAACCATACTAGGGAGAGTACCAGAACGAACCCCCGTGTGCTCCTGACTGAGCTTTGGCCACCGTCCATGTCTAAGGCACCTGCCACCTGGCCTCTGTCAATTCACAAGTTGCTGATAGAACGACAACATGAAACTGTACTGTTTATTTATTGATTTTTTTGAATTTTGCCAGAGTATACATGTGCTTGTCAGAGACACACACAGAGAGAAGAGGAAAGTGAGAAAGCACCCCTCCGTGGGGGATGGTATCGCCACAATTCCTTCTCCTGCATCTCTCCTTCCGGTGGGATTTTGGACGCATATACAATGTGCCCGGTGTGTTTCTCAAGCTGCTGGCCCTGTGGGCTCCAGAGACCTTAACCGTGTATGGGCTGGCCTGAACTGTGTATTTCAGACCATATGATTTGTTTGGAGACCAGCACTTAGTGTAATGGTTATGTCACTGGAATCCCATGTAGTCAACTGCGGTTCAAATCCCGGACCCGGTGGCTTAAGCTCACGCCAGGCACGTGTGCGTGCGTGCCCAAGATCCTGAGAGGAGAATGGAGGAGCAGGGATTGCGGCATGGCCATCCCGCCTGGGGGTGATTTCTCGCTTTCTCTTTGTCTCTGTCTGGGGAGCGCACGCATCCTATAGCAAAACCTCTCCAAAAAAAAGAAAAAAGAAATGTACACGTGTTGGAATATTCACTTTGTAAGCTAAGTAACATGATTGAATGTATAAAAGAAATGAAAAGAAATACAACTTTAAAAAAACAATTAAAAGGACAAAAGGAAGTCCGGCTCTAGCGTGTCTCCCCTTGCGCCTCCTAGGATCGAGCAGTACTACGAGGCCATCCTGGCCCTGTGGAACCAGCTGTACATCAACATGAAGAGCCTGGTGTCCTGGCACTACTGCATGATTGACATCGAGAAAATCAGAGCCATGACCATCGCCAAGGTACGTCCAAAGTCCACGCACGCTGCCCGGCCACGCCCGTTCCTACCAGGCCCACCCTCTGGCCAATGAGCCAGCTCAGCCTTCCCCAGAGGCCTGGGCCATGCGTTAGAGAAGGGAGGAGTCAGTGCATGGCTGGTTCCAACACAGAGCAGTCCCAATTACAGCGCCTGCTGGGAGTCCCTGTGGGTAAGGCGTGTGGTTCTGTAATATCCTGGCTCCTGTTCTCCTTGGATGTCATGAAGTAAGGTCATGGCAATTGGATGCCATGGAGGAGGAGGCCGGATAGAACTCTTGGAAGAACCTCAGAGCATTCGGAACTCGCAATGAGTGTTTTTCAAACTGTGGTCCAAAGAATCCTAGATGGGGTGGTCCTTACACGGGGTCAGAGATGAAGTGAGGAAAGAAACCCAGAATGGTGAGTTCAGGGTCCCGCCCTGCCCCCTTTTCTCCTAGGCAGGGCAGCTGTGCTGCCCTCTGCTTTATATCTGGGGCATCTCAGTTTCTTTTATTTGGAGGAAAAAATTCTCTAGGGAAAATAAAAATTACAGGTCACTGCACTGGTTCTTAGGAGCAAAGTCTAAAGCCTCAGATGCCTTTTTTATCTTTTTTATTTTAAAGAATTATTTTATTTAACTTTTATTTATTTATTTATTTATCTAATTTAATTTGACCAGAGAGAGACAAAGTGAGAGAGAGAGAAAGTGAGAAAGCAAGCCATCAGGTTCAGGACTCGAACTATGGTCGGCCATGTGGAAGTTCAGCACCCTTAACCACCATGCCACCTGCCAGCTCCAATATATTCATGATTCATTAAGATTAACTCTGTTTTTAGTTAGAGAGAGGGAAAGCGAGAAAGCAAGGCACCAGGTCTGGGACTTGAACCATGAGTAGCCATGTGGGAGTCCAGCGCCTTAACCACCATGCCACCTGCCAACCACAATGCCTTTTATATCGCAGCGGGCCTGTGACAAGTGATGCTTGAGTCCCAACTAGTGGGGGACAGTTTACGGCCAGCTTACGCAGTCGCACTGTGGGGCCATCATAACCCCCAGATCTCCTCTTCCTGGTTTCCCTCCAGCTGAAGACCATGCGGCAGGAGGATTACATGAAGACGATATCCGACCTGGAGCTGCATTACCAAGAGTTCATCAGAAACAGCCAAGGCTCCGAGATGTTTGGGGATGACGACAAGCGCAAGATCCAGTCTCAGTTCACCGACGCCCAGAAGCATTACCAGACCCTGGTCATTCAGCTCCCAGGCCACCCCCAGCACCAGACCAGTGAGTTTGGCTGTCCTTCTCTTGGTACCAGCCACGTAGGTGATTTTAAAAAGACAGTAGTGGAGCCAGCAGGTGCCATGGTGGCTAAGGGTGCTGGGCTCCCACATGGGCTACTGAGAGTCATTTCCTGACCTGGCTACTTGCTTTCTCACCTCTCACCCCACTCTGTCCCTCTCTAGTCCTGTTATTTTATCTTTTTCTCTCTTTTTCTCTCTCTTTCCTTCTTTTCTTTCTTACCAGAGAGGGACAGAGTGAGAGAGAAAGAGAAAGAGAGAGAGAGGGGAAAGTGAGAAACCAAGCCACCAGGTCCAGGAATTGAACTGTGGTTGGCCATGTGGGAGTCCACTGCCCTCAACTGCCATGACACCTGCCGGCTGCAAAATAACTCTTTAAAAAAAAAAAAAAAGAAAAAAGAAAGTAGTTTGCCTAATACCGGTTTCATAACTATCTCTTTTTAAGATATATGTCAAAAGTAATTTCTACACTAAATCAGACTCAAATCAAGGGAAGTAGGTGCATGTGTATACGACATGCTTGTGTGTGTGTGGTTTTTGTTTGTTTGTTTGTTTTAGGTTTTTGCCACAGAGCATGCGCTCACCAGAGAGGAAAGAGACAGAGAGAGGGAAAGTGAGGGATCACCCCTTGGGGGGATGGCCATACCACAATTCCTTCTTCTCCATTCTCCTCCTGGGATTTTGGGCATGCACACACATGTGCCTGGTGGGATTTCCAAGTCACTGAGTCCGGGACTTGAACCATGGTCGATCATGTGGGAATCTAGCTGCCTTCACCACCACATCACCTGCTGACCCCTTGTTTGGTTTTGATTTGAGGCTGAGTTCTTTGCTAGCTAGGAGGTTCTGATCCTGTTTGTGGTCCTCCTTTCTTTTTTACAGTAACCACGACTGAAATCACCCATCACGGTACCTGCCAGGATGTCAACCACAATAAAGTCATTGAAACCAACAGAGAGAATGACAAGCAGGAGACCTGGATGCTGATGGAGCTCCAGAAGATCCGCAGGCAGATGGAGCTCTGCGAGAGCAGGATGGCCCTGAAAAACCTCCTTCAGGCTGACCACGGGTCCTCTCACCACATCACGGTGAAAATCAACGAGCTCAAGGTAGGTCTCCATTCGTATTTTGCCTGACTCTACATATACTTTTATTTACCTGCCAGCAAATAAAAAACCTCCCGGTTTAAATGTTTACGGGCAAGAAATATTAATTTCTGAATGAATAGGCTCCTGGAAGAATTCCTTTTTTCTTTCCTGTGTTTTTTTTGTTTGTTTGTTTCTTTCACAAGAGAGAGAAATAGATGGAGAGAAATAGGCACCCGAATGGAGTCCCCATGCCACAATCCATCCCCTGCCTCAGCCAGCCCCAATCACAGACATGCATGTGCATGTACCCCGTGTGCTCAGAGAGGTCCTGGGACACGAACCCAGGGCATTTCCATCTGGGTTCAGTTGTGTTACAACTGCGCCACCACCTAGCCTCTGTGTTTCCAAATTTGTAGGTCATCAGGCTGGAGGTTGAACCCTTTGCTGTTAGTTTGTGGGTTGCTGTTCGAAGTTCCTGTGAACATTAATCTGGCTTCTTCCCAGAGCAGCCAGCGATATGGGCTAGACAGGTCTAATGATTTCTATGATTTGGTTAGTGGGGTAAGATCCGTACCATAGGCTGGCTGTGACTTTGGTATAGGTATGTCACTCCTAACTCAGTGGTGTTTTCTGCTCAGCCGAGCCTGGGCCCTGTATGGAAATGTTGAACGCTGGGGCCAGCAGGTGACGTGGCAGTTGAGGGTGCTAGACTCCCACATGGCTGACGGTGGTTCGATTCCCAGGCCTAACAGCTTGCTTTCTCACTTTCTCTCTCTCTCTGTCTTTCTCTCTCTCTATCTGGTCAAATTAAAATAAAAAATAAACAAAGTTAAATAAAATAATTCTTTTTTTAAAAAAAGAGAGAGGAACGCCCAACATAAAATATGCAGGGCAATAGGAGCACACTTACACAGCGCTAATAAGGCCATCCTGAGGAAAGAAACGAAAGGTCAACTATTTCTTTTTTGAATCCTTTATGTTTAGTAAACATTTTTAAAAAAATTATTTACTTAGGGACCAGCAGGTGGCGTGATGGTTAAGGTGCTGGGCATTCCCACATGGCCAACCATGGTTCGAGTCCTGGACCTGGTGGCATGCTTTCTTACTTTCCTTCTCTTCTCTCTGTGCATCTCTCACTGGTCAAATTAAAATAAATGAATGAATAAATTAAATTAAATAAATAATGAAAAAAGAATTATTTATTTAATTTTATTTATTATTATTATTATTATTATAATTTCTTGATTTGCTAGAGGGTTGATTTGCATTCACCAGAGAGAGAGATAGAGAGAGAAAGAGAGAAAAAGAAAGGGAAAGTGAGAAAGCAAGCCATCAGGCACCAGGTCTGGGACTTGAACCACAACCGGCCATGTGGGAGTCTGGTGCCTTAACTACCATGCCACCTGCTGGCCCCATGTTTGTAAACATTTTAAGGGCAGAAATGATCACTACAATCACATGGCTACAACACAGCATACTAAGTACCAGGTGATCATGGTGCACCAAAACTGTGGTACAGTGGAATATTACTGAGCCTTAAAAAAGAAGATGGTCCTGTCATTTGTAATGACATGGATGAATGTAGGGGACGTTATGCTTCCTGAAATGAGCTAGATGCAGAAAGGCAAATGCTTCATGAGCTCGCTTCCATGTGGAATCTAAACAAAGTGAAATACGTAGAAACAGAGTGTGATAGTGGTTATCCAGCAGGAGATAGAGGTCACAGGGTACAAACTTGCAGTAGCATGAATAAATCCAGAGATTTAATGCACAGCAGGAGAATTGTAAGTAATAACATTGCAATTTGTGTGTGCGTGTGTGTGCGTGTGTGTGTGTACGAGAAATCATTTAAAGGTTTTTGCTATAGGGTGCTTGCGCGTGCCAGAGAGAAAGTGAGAGGGGAAGTGAGAAATCACTCCCCAAGGGAGATGGCCATGCCCTCATCTCTTCTCCTCTGTTCTCCTGGAATTTGGCCCTGCATGCACATAGGCTGGCATGATTTTCAAGCCGCCATGTCTGGAACTTGAACCACAGTTGGCCGTGTGGGAGTCCAGCGCTACAACCACTATGCCACCCACTGGCCCCTATTGTAGTATCTATTGAACATTTGCTAAGGGAATAGATTTTGGGGGCTTTTACTGCACATGCAACAGAAGGTAACTATGGAATGTGGTGGACACGTTCATTTCCTTCCCTGTAGTATTCATTTCACTGTGTATGTGTATATGAAAACATCGTGTTGTATACCTTAAATATATATAACCAGAAACACATTTTTGAAGAAGAATCAGACAACTACCGCCAATCAACTTTACTTCTTTTTTGACAGAGTGTGCAGAATGATTCACAAGCGCTCGCTGAAGTTCTCAACCAGCTTAAAGATATGCTTGCTAACTTCAGAGGCTCAGAAAAGTACTGCTACTTACAGAACGAAGTGTTTGGACTGTTTCAAAAACTGGAGAATATCAATGGTGTTACAGATGGCTACTTGAACAGGTAAGCATAACGAACACAAAGCTCAGAGATTTGGCTTTTCTCAGGTGCTGTTTTGTCAGACTTATTTGTAGCATATTTATGGCTTATGGAATCTTGGTTTTTCTCTCTCTCTCTTTTTTTCTTATAAGTTTATTTTTTTCTTCCATGAGAAACACCATGAGAGAGACAGAGAAACAGCACCCCTGGTAGGGTCTTCACGCTGTGATCTAGCTCTGTGCGGGTGCCTGGCATGAACAGGGAGGCCTCTGGATTGTGGAAGGTGCTGTGTTAGCAATGCGCCACCAGGTGGCCCCATAGTGTCTCCTGTTCAGAGATTGCTTACGTTCTCTGTGGTTTTGACAGAATAGTCCTCTAGCCTAGGATGTTAATTCCAGTAGGGGAGCTCCCTGTGGTTTGAACATCTGAAATGGAAAATTCTAGAAATAAACCATTTATGCATTTTAAATGGCACATGATTCCAAATGAAATCTTACACTGTCTTAGAGGACATGCATCATCCCTTGGTCAGCATATCCATACTGGGTACACTACCTACCTCTTAGTCACTTAGCTGTCTTGGTTGTCAGATCTGAAAAACACAGGGTCTCAGGCAACCAATGGAGTCTTGGAACATATTCCTCAAGGATAGGGAGGACTCCCGTATCCTGAAATCTAGTGCATCATAGCGCCAAGGCGTACTCTAAGGGCCAGAGCTGAGAATTCTTCCATGAATGTGAAATTGTGGTCTAAACTCTGATGGAAAAGTCTTCCCATGGCTTGTGAAATAGGCAAAATACTTTTTTATCTGCTTTGCTATTTTTTCTTTCATTACGAGTGGCAAGAACCAAGGGTTGCCTGTCTCAGGAGATCCAGTCTAGCCCTTTTACCTGCCTGTTTTCTTTGCAGCCTGTGCACAGTAAGGGCACTGCTGCAGGCCATCCTCCAGACCGAGGATATGCTGAAGGTTTATGAAGCCAGACTCACGGAGGAGGAAACAGTTTACCTGGACCTGGACAAAGTGGAAGCTTACCGCTGTGGACTGAAGGTAGCTTGAAACCTTTCAGCACTGGCCCAACTTTACAGAAAATAGTGCAGGGCTCAGCTGCCCATTCCGAGACCTCACTAGATTTTCCTGACTTGTGAGGGTTATTGGATTTCATCGGCCACGCTTGGTTGATACCAGTCGTTCTCTCTAGCAATCTGTTTTCCAGAATGTCTTAGCAAGAGCTGTGGAAGAAAGGAATTCCCGATGGAATTAGTTTAGGAAATGCTGAATCAAACGTAGTTAAACTGAGGTCAGTACTAGGGGACTTCTCAGAATCTTGAATACGTGAAAAAACTAGAATTATTCAGGAACGGAGTGTGTTATTTAGCATTTCTTTCTTTTTAAAATGATTTTCTTTAACTTTCTTTAGTTAATTCATTTATTTAAACTTGACCAGAGAGAGAGAGAGAGAGAATGTGAGAAAGCAAGCTTCCAGTTGGGATTTGAACCACGGTCAGCCATGTGGGAGTCCAGCGCCCTTAGCCACACACCTCCTACCGGCCCTTATTATTCAGCATTTTAAAAACGAATTTGCACATTGAATCTTTTCTTTTTTAAGTTTCTTTCTTGTTGTCGTTCTATGAGCAAGAGACAAAGACAGCACTCGAACAAGGTCTCGATGCTGCTGCTCACCGCTAGCTTTTGCATCGAGACCTTGTTGGGATGATGGGCACCCACATGCCCAGTGTTCTCAGGGAGGTCTCTAGATGTGAGCCCGGAACCTTCCCATGTGAGTTGACCTTGCAGAGTATCACGTTTTATTGATTTGTCACCATCCCTGCAATCTTCCTTTTTTTTTTTTTGAAGTTCATTTCCTCCTTTATTTCTTCTTTCCTTTCTTCCTTTCTTTCTTTTCTTGAGTATGAAAGAGGCAGAGAAGTAGGCACTCATAACTGGATCTTTTTTATTTTTTAAAAAATAATTATTTAATTTTAATTTGATTTATTCATTCATTTATTTTATTTTGACTAGAGAGAGACACAAAGAGAGAGAGAATGTGAGAAAGTAAGCCACCAGGTCCAGGACTTGAACTGTGGTTGGCCATGTGGGAGTGTCCAGTGCCTTGACCACCACGCCACCTGCTGGTCCCATTCAGAACTGGACCTTCACAGTATGCTCTAACCCCAGTCTCAGCCAGCACAGGTCATAGGCCAGGGTGTATGTGCTTAGCGTGCTCATAGAGGTCTTGGGACCTGAACCCAGGACCTTACCACGTGGGTCCTGTTGCACTACCGACGTACCACCACCTGCCTGCCGACTGTTTTGTTACAGGGCCACACGAGGAGCTAGATCAATGGAATGACTACTGGGAGTTTAGTAAATATCATTTCTGGGTTGACTGCTAGCATTGAAATGTCTAGATAGTCTAAAGAGTTTGAGCAACTTTTGCCTGCCAAATTGGGTGACTTACAGCATTAGCATACCGTGATAGAAGCGATTGATTTGCCCTTTCGTTTTGTCTTGCAGAAAATAAAAAACGACCTGAACTTGAAGAAATCGTTGTTGGCCACCATGAAGACAGAGCTGCAGAAAGCGCAGCAGATCCACTCACAGACCTCACAGCAGTACCCACTGTACGACCTGGATCTGGGCAAGTTCAGTGAGAAAGTCACGCAGCTGACAGACCGCTGGCAAAGGATCGACAAACAGATCGACTACAGGTGCGCCAGCCGCGTCCCTCGCGCCTTCCCATTGGTTGCTCCCCACATCATGGCACTTGAAGCCATGACGATAAACATGGAGGTTTGTTTCGGAAGTTAGGTGTGACAGGTGCTCTTTGCTTGGACTGCCTGAGGCGACTTTGAAATGGAAAGAGTTCAGTGTGGCCTAGGTGGAACCTGTGTGTGCCCAATGAATGCAGAAGGGAACTCTTTGGTGCCCTGTAAGCTCTCGTTAGGATTGTTGGAAAGAGTCGCTGCTTTGAGCGAGTGAGCTCCAAAGATGTATGAAAATTAATTTTTTTTTTCAGTTGCCAGAAGGTGTATACACTTGCCAGAGAGAGAGAGAAAGAAGGGAAGAAAGCACCTTTTCAACGGGGCGTAGTTATACCTCAGTCCCTTCTCCTGTTTCTCTACTTCCCTGGATTTTAGGCATCCATTCACATGCACTCAGCGTGTTTTCCAAGCTACCACAGCTAGGAGTTGAACCATGGTCGGCCATGTTGGATCTGGCTTCTGTAACCACTAGGCTACAGGGCTGGCCCAAAACTAAATTTTATACAAAAGAAATGCCTTACTGCAAATGAGAGTCAAATGAAAAGAAAACACAAACGAACAAGCAAAAAAGAAACACGCCCTCAATTACATTATGTATGCAGTCTATTTTGTTCATGGTGCTTATGAAAAACATCTTTCTGGAAATGTAATTTACATACCCCACCATTCATTCATTTCAAGTGTACAGGTCGATGGGTTTTCGTATATTTAGGGTTGGGTAACTGTCACCATCACCCGAGTTTTGAACATTTTCATTACACCCAAAAGAAACCCTATACCACCTGCAGTCAGCCCCGTTTCCTCCCCAGCTCAGCCTAGGCAATCCCCCGTCTACTTCCTGTCTCTAGGGATTTGCCTCTTCTGGACATGTCATATAAATGGCATCTTATAACATGTGGCTGGCTTCTTTCACTTAATATAATGCTTTTCAGGGTCATTCATGCTGCGGTATGTTTTAACACTTTCTATTTTATTTCTTTTGTGGCTGAATAATATGCCATAGTATGACATATAGTTTCATCAGTTTGTGGATACCTGGGTTGTTTCCAATTGTGGCTATGATGAGAAGTGCTATGATCATTTACAATTAAGTGGGTTTTTTTGTTTGTTTGTTTGTTTTTTAAGAGAAATTTTTGCTATAGGGTGCGTGTGCTCACCAGAGAGAGACAGAAAACAAGAAATCACCCCCCAGGGGTATGGTCCATGCCACAATCCCTTTTCCATCATGCTCTGCTCGGGATTTTGGGCACACATGCACACACACCTGGTGCTGAATTTGAAGCCACCAAGTCTGGGACTTGAACTGTGGTTGGCCATGTGGGAGTCCAGTGACGTAACCATTACGCCACCTGCTGGTCCCCACATATAAGTTTTTGTGGAGGTGAATGTTTATAGTTTTCTTGGATATATATCAAGTGAATTACTGGGTGACTCTGTGCTGCATATTTTAGGAACTAATAACAAAATTTTATTTTATCTATTTTCTCCCAGATTATGGGACCTGGAGAAACAAATCAAACAACTGAGGAATTATCGCGATAACTATCAGGCTTTCTGCAAGTGGCTCTATGATGCCAAGCGACGCCAGGATTCTTTGGAATCCATGAAGTTCGGAGATTCTAACACAGTCATGCGGTTTTTGAATGAGCAGAAGGTATAGACCAACTCATTCCATCGGTGTTTTGAGATTCGTTGGGTGTGAGTTGGGTTTTTCTCTCTGGTTTCACAGCCAGGTTTGAAATGATGGCTATTTAATATTTTGTGGATGCTTAGAAAATGCCCAGAAGAAAAACAACCAACGTATTTTACCAAGAAATGCAGTTATGGATATAGAAAAAAATGTAATGTGGGTTTTTTCATGTTATAGTAAGGGACTTTCTAAGTTGTGAAGATAGGACCAGAGAACAGTGCTGACTAGAGAATGACCTTTTGTAGATGATAAGAAATTGATGGCTTTATTCTCTTTTCGGAATGGAGAAGATGTTCATCTATGCTGTAATTGTGAGACTGTAAGGGCAGTCCCTATAGTAATAAACGGAAGAGAACCAAAAGAATAACAGTGGTAAAAGATCAAAGTAACATGTATTTAAAAATATTTGTGTTTGTTAACTTTGTAGATATTTTATTTTTTAAATTAAAAAAATTTTTTTTTTATTTGTATAGAACTTGCACAATGAAATATCAGGCAAACGAGACAAATCAGAAGAAGTACAAAAAATTGCTGAACTTTGTGCAAATTCAATTAAGGTATGTTGGTTTTGTTGCGAGTGTTGCTGTTTGGGGGCCAGCAGGTGATGTGGAGGTTAAGGTGCTGAATCACCACATGGCCCACTGTTCGAGTCCTGGACCCTGCAGCTTGAAAATCATGCAAGGTGTGTGCCCAAAATCCCAAGAGGAGAACAGAGAAGGGATTGTGGTGTGGTCATCCCCCCTGGGGGTGATTTCTCACTTTCTCTCTTTCTCTTTCTCTGGTGAGCACACATACCCTATAGCAAAAAACTAGGAGAAGAAAAGAAAAAGGAAAAGAATTTTGGTGTTCCTGCCAGACTATTATTAACTGTATCATTGGCTGATTGGCTTTAAAGATTATAAACTTCTTGAGGATCATTATTAGGGCTTTTATATATTCTCTCCTGAACACACCGCAGAAGTGTCTTATCCATTAACCTGAAGTCCTTTCGCACTGGCAGTACCTTCACAAATGTGCTATTCTTTATTCTCTAGACTGGAGCTATTTGCAGAGCTCTCTAATTAGCATACAAATTGCATGGCTAGGTTTAATAATGTAATCTCAGTCACTTGGATATGAGTGGCACATTATAGTTGGTGGGTTTGGTCATGAGAAATACAGTTCGATGATTTAAAATTGTGTGGACTGGTAGCTATTCGTGACTTCCGTCCATTATTCAACTTTATTCTTTTTGCAGGATTATGAACTCCAGCTGGCATCCTACACCTCTGGACTAGAAACTCTACTGAACATACCTATCAAGAGAACCATGGTTCAATCCCCTTCTGGAGTGATTCTGCAAGAGGTATCCATGCCATTATCTTGTAACATCTTGTAACATCTGCCCTTCCTGCTGCCTCTTCTGTTTTCCCTGTCCCTGCCTTCCCTGCTGTCTCTGAATTCATCCCCTGTTGTAAAGTGTTCACTCAAAAAGGATCATAGCAGGTATGTTCCCTTTAGGGTAAGGCATTGTCTAATACATTTGAAGAAATGATCAGGGGAACTCTAAGTCTGTTGCTTATATATATTAGAATCTGCAGAAACTGGACTTAACTTTCTGGGTTTGATAAGGGAGACTTCTAAGAAGAGGAAGCATATAGTAGACTTCTTTTTTTTTTTTAAGAATTATTTTATTTAACTTTATTTATTTATTTATTTTAATTTGACCAGAGAGGGACAGAGTGAGAGAGAGAGAAAATGAGAAAGCAAGCTGTCAGGTCCAGGACTTGTGGTCAGCCATGTGGGAGTCCAGCACCCCCAACCACCAAGCCACCTGCTGGCCCCTATATAGTAGATTTCTAAAGGACAACCTTTTTCCCAATGATGTCAAAAAAGATCATCTGAGGGTGTAGAGAAACCAACTCAGTGACAATGATGAAGTATAATGTGTTTAGCATGTTTTGCTGTACTTCTAGATTGTGTAATTTGCACACATGAAAGGAGGAAACTTACTATTAAAATCATTATTTCCCTATTTTATTTTATAGTAAGTTTTTTAGAGAGTTTTGCCTTAGGGTGTGTGTGCTCACCAGAGAGCGAGCAAGCGAGTGAGAGAGACAGTGAGAGGGAAAGTGAGAAATCACCTCTCAGAGGGGATGGCCATACCGCCATCCCTTCTCCTCCATCCTCCTCTGATGATCTTGGGCATGCACGCACACACGCCCAACATAAATTTCAAGCTGCCAGGTTCAAGACTGGAACTGTGGTCAGCTGTGTGTGTAAGTCCAGCAACTTAACTACTATGCCATCTACTGATCCCCACATTTCCCTATTTTATTATTTTGGAAAGCAAAATTAGTTGACTTGTATAAACCTTATTTGAATACTATCTTTTTTTCTTTTCTTTCCCTCTTTTCCCCCAAGGCTGCAGATATTCATGCTCGGTACATAGAACTACTGACAAGGTCTGGAGATTATTACAGATTCTTAAGTGAGATGCTAAAGAGTTTGGAAGATCTGAAGGTAATTTATTTATTTTATTTCCTTAGAGCATCAAAAAAGAAAATCGAATAGAACTTTATTATAACTGCCTCATCATATAAAATAGATTTGGGCATACTCACTGGTATAACTATTTCCTTTAAGCAGTTAGCAGAACACATTTTGTTCCTGAGTCTGGGGTTAGTTCTATGCTCTAGCACACTGCTCTAAATGAACTTGGATAATATTTGCAAAGTTGCAGCTTTACTTTGCTAAAGTGGCATTTCATTGAATGTTTGGTGAAGGAATTAGCTCTATTTCTTTGTGGTAAATTAAGGATAAGAACATCTTGGACTAGTTGGATTTGGATGTTTCATATTAGGTGATTGTTCGATTTACTCCTCAGTTCTAATCCTTGAACTGAGTTGATATGAAAACTTACTTTTTTCCTTGAAATCAAGGGGATAGAATTTATAAAATCAAAAGCTTTTAATCTTGAGAGAAAGGACCTCATTTTCCAGATGAGGAAGTTGAAACTCAAAGATAGTGGATCACCTGCTAACCAGAAATCGAGGAAGGAATTATGATGAGAATCAAGATTTCTTGAGTTTTTTGTCTAGGAGTTTGGCTTCATTTAACTCTGTGTGTGTGTGTGTGCATTTATGTGTGTGGGTATGTATAAAGAGAAATGAGAATGCATATTAGTCTGGGAGGGGGAAAAGCACTGCTTCTTTCTTGTGCTATGAGGTGCTTTTTGTCAACATCATTTCTGATTTTGCCTCCGCAGCTGAAAAATACCAAGATTGAAGTTTTGGAAGAGGAGCTCAGACTGGCTCGAGATGCCAACTCGGAAAACTGCAATAAGAACAAATTCCTGGATCAGAACCTGCAGAAGTACCAGGCAGAGTGTTCCCAGTTCAAAGCTAAACTTTCGAGCCTGGAGGAGCTGAAGAGACAAGCTGAGCTGGATGGAAAGTCAGCGAAGCAAAACCTAGACAAGTGCTACGGCCAAATCAAGGAACTCAACGAGAAGATCACCCGGCTGACTTACGAGATCGAGGATGAGAAGAGAAGGAGAAAGACAGTGGAGGACAGATTTGACCAGCAGAAGAACGACTACGACCAACTGCAGAAAGCAAGGCAATGTGAGAAGGAGAGCCTTGGTTGGCAGAAACTAGAGTCTGAGAAAGCCATCAAGGAGAAGGAGTATGAGATAGAAAGGTTGAGGGTTCTCCTGCAGGAGGAAGGCGCCCGGAAGAGAGAATATGAAAATGAGCTGGCAAAGGTAAGAAACCACTATAATGAGGAGATGAGTAATTTAAGGAACAAGTATGAAACAGAGATTAACATTACGAAGACCACCATCAAGGAGATATCCATGCAAAAAGAGGATGATTCCAAAAATCTTAGAAACCAGCTGGATCGACTCTGCAGGGAAAATCGAGATCTAAAGGAGGAAATCGTCAGGCTCAACGACAGCATCTTGCAGGCCACGGAGCAGCGCAGGCGGGCTGAAGAAAACGTCCTTCAGCAGAAGGCCTGTGGCTCCGAGGCCATGGAGAAGAAGCAGCGCCTGGAGATAGAGCTGAAGCAGGTCATCCAGCAGCGCTCGGAGGACAATGCCAGGCACAAGCAGTCCCTGGAGGAGGCTGCCAAGACCATTCAGGACAAAAACAAGGAGATCGAAAGACTCAAAACTGAGTACCAGGAGGAGGCCAAGCGCCGCTGGGAATACGAAAATGAACTGGGTAAGGTAAGGAACAGTTACGATGAGGAGATCATTAGCTTAAAGAACCAGTTCGAGACTGAAATCAACATCACCAAAGCCACCATCCACCAGCTCACCATGCAGAAGGAAGAGGACACCAGCGGCTACCGAGCCCAGATCGACACTCTCACCCGAGAGAACAGGAGCCTAACTGAGGAAATCAAGAGGCTGAAGAACACGCTCACCCAGACCACCGAGAATCTCAGGAGGGTTGAAGAGAACGCTCAACAGCAGAAGGCCACCGGCTCCGAGGTGGCTCAGAGGAAACAGCAGCTGGAGGTCGAGCTGAGACAGGTCACTCAGATGCGAACGGAAGAGAGCGTGAGGTATAAGCAGTCTCTGGATGATGCCGCCAAAACGATCCAGGATAAAAACAAGGAGATCGAGCGGCTCAAACAACTGATCGAGAAAGAAACGAGTGAGCGCAAGTGCCTGGAAGACGAGAATGCGAAACTGCAGCGGGCCCAGTACGATCTGCAGAAAGCAAACAGCTGCGCCACTGAGACCATAAGCAAGCTGAAGGTTCAGGAACAGGAGCTGGTGCGCCTGAGAATCGATTATGAAAGGGTTTCCCAGGAGAGGACTGTGAAGGACCAGGATATCACACGATTCCAAAGCTCTCTGAAGGAGCTGCAGTTGCAGAAGCAGAAAGTGGAGGAGGAGCTCAATCGCCTCAAGAGGACGGCCTCTGAGGACTCTTCCAAACGCAAGAAGCTGGAGGAGGAGCTGGAAGGTATGAGGCGCTCGCTGAAAGAGCAAGCCATCAAAATCACCAGCCTGACCCAGCAGCTGGAGCAGGCGACCATCATTAAGAAGAGGAGCGAGGACGACCTCCGGCAGCAGAGGGACGTGCTGGACGGCCACCTGCGGGACAAGCAGAGGACTCAGGAAGAGCTGAGGAGGCTGTCCTCGGAGGTCGAGGCTCTCAGGCGGCAGTTGCTCCAGGAACAGGAAAATGTCAAGCAGGCTCACGTGAGGAATGAGCATTTCCAGAAGGCGATCGAAGATAAAAGCAGGAGCTTGAATGAAAGCAAAATCGAAATCGAGAGGCTGCAGTGTCTCACAGAGAACCTGACCAAGGAGCACTTGATGTTGGAAGAAGAGCTGCGAAACCTGAGGCTGGAATATGACGACCTGAGAAAGAACCGGAGCGAAGTGGATAATGACAAAAACGCCACCATCTCGGAACTAAGGAGCCAGCTGCAGATCAGCAACAACCGAACTTTGGAACTGCAGGGGCTGATTAATGATTTACAGAGAGAAAGGGAAAATTTGAGACAGGAAATTGAGAGATTCCAAAAGCAGGCGTTAGAGGTATTCACAAATATTTGATCACGGCTTCCCTGTTTCTCCTATCACTCTTACCGTCTAATCTGAACTGTGCTCTTGCTACTTAGATGGATGCTTACAGAAAGCCTAACGTTTCTTTCTGTTGCTCTCCTACTGCCTCTCACAATCCAGGTAACTGCTTTAAAATAATTCCAACACCTTGTTTCTTTCTATTCTGTCACTGCATCACATGCCAGTCTGCGTGTAACCTGTGTTCAGCTCTGCTTTTAAGAACTTTAGCATGTGTGTAACATCGATGATCAACTGCCTCTGCCTGCTCCACTCCACTTTCTAGGAGATAGCTCTTATTTACTGAGCAATCTCATACATTTATAATTAAAATTTGTGTCAATAAAAGCCATATGAAAGGGTTTCACTTTGTAATTTGTAAATCACATTTTTTTTTTTGCTATTTCTCTATGTAATTTGTAAATCACATCTTTTTTTTGCTTGCATGATTTTTCTGCATGCAGAAAAATCTGTTCTCTTTTCTACTTCTCTTTTCTCTTCTGTTCTCTTTTGCTCATGATCCTAATGTTTCTTTTTGTCTGCCTTGTCTTCTTTCTACTCCTAAGTTTAAAAATCACTTCTGTTACTTCTCATACAATATTTGTGTGGGGCTGGGTGGTGGGAGGTGAATATATCCGTACTGTGTATTGCTTTATTAAATACGCAGGAGTAGCTGTAACAGATGAGATGTGAGGTTAGCAGTTACGACAACCTGGAACAAAACTCCCCATATTTTTTTAGGCCGTAATTATTGCTAAGAGTAAATCAGGTCTACAGCTTCTAGATTCTTCTATGGAAAAAAAAATAGTAAGTATGAAGCCATTTATCAGTGGCAACATAGATGAGGGGTCTTGGTGAAAAGTTTATGGAAAAGTGCGTATTAGGAAAAAATATGCATGGATTTCAAGATTTTCTTGCATCAAAATAAACTCAGGCTTTACATTCCTTTTTTTTTTCAATGAACTTTCTGAGATCCCCTCTTATATCTACACGAATTTTGCCACAACTTTGTAAGAAAACAAGCAATCCAGGGCCCACGTAGAAAGGAAAAAATGTATAAACATGTTTTTAAAGAACGATAGAGGAAAAGATAACTTTCAATTGTGACAGATCCAGGGCACACGTAGAAAAGAAAAAATGTATAAACATGTTTTTAAAGAATGATAGAGGAAAAGATAACTTTCAATTGTGACAGTTATATGATATAACCGAAATATTATTTTCCCCCTTTGTTTTAAATTCTAGGCATCTAATAGGATTCAGGAATCAAAGACTCAGTGCACTCAGGTGGTGCAGGAAAGGGAGAGTCTTCTGATGAAGATCAAGGTTCTGGAGCAAGACAAGACGAGGCTTCAGAGGCTGGAGGATGAGCTGAATCGTGCAAAAGCGACTCTGGAGGCAGAAAGCAGGGTGAAGCAGCGCCTGGAGTGTGAGAAACAGCAGATCCAGAATGACCTGAACCAGTGGAAAACTCAGTATTCTCGCAAGGAGGAGGCTATTCGGAAGATAGAGTCAGAAAGAGAAAAGAGTGAGAGAGAGAAGAACAGCCTTAGGAGCGAGATCGAGAGACTCCAGGCAGAGATCAAGAGGATCGAAGAGAGGTGTAGGCGGAAGTTGGAGGATTCTAGCAGGGAGACACAGTCACAGTTGGAGACAGAGCGTTGTCGACTTCAGAGGGAGATTGATAAACTCAGACAGCGTCCATACGGGTCCCATCGGGAGACCCAGACTGAGTATGAATGGACTGTCGACTCTTCCACGCTGGTGTTTGATGGCCTGAGGAAGAAGGTGACCGCCATGCAGCTCTATGAGTGCCAGCTGATTGACAAGAGCACCTTGGACAAATTATTGAAGGGGAAAAAGTCGGTGGAAGAAGTTGCTTCTGAAATCCAGCCTTTCCTTCGGGGCGCAGGAGCTATCGCTGGCGCTTCTGCTTCTCCTAAGGAAAAGTATTCTTTGGTAGAGGCCAAGAGAAAGAAATTTATCACTCCAGAATCCACAGTCATGCTTCTGGAGGCCCAGGCAGCTACAGGTGGTATAATCGATCCCCATCGGAATGAGAAGCTGACCGTCGACAACGCCATCGCGCGGGACCTCATCGATTTTGATGACCGTCAGCAGATATATACGGCTGAAAAAGCCATTACTGGTTTTGATGATCCATTTTCAGGCAAGACGGTATCCGTGTCGGAAGCCATCAAGAAAAACTTGATTGATAGGGAGACCGGAATGCGCCTGCTGGAAGCACAGATCGCTTCAGGGGGCGTAGTAGACCCCGTGAATAGTGTCTTTTTGCCAAAAGATGTTGCCTTGGCTCGTGGGCTGATTGACAGGGATTTATATCGGTCCCTGAATGATCCCAGAGATAGCCAGAAGAACTTTGTGGACCCAGTCACCAAAAAGAAGGTCAGTTACATGCAGCTGAGGGAGCGGTGCAGAATCGAACCACACACTGGTTTGCTTTTGCTCTCAGTCCAGAAGAGAAGCATGTCCTTCCAAGGAATCAGACAGCCTGTGACCGTCACTGAGCTGGTCGATTCTGGTATTTTGAGACCATCCACTGTAAATGAACTGGAAACAGGTCAGATTTCTTACGATGAGGTCGGTGAGAGGATTAAGGACTTCCTTCAGGGCTCGAGCTGCATAGCAGGCATATACAATGAAACCACCAAGCAGAAGCTTGGCATTTATGAGGCCATGAAAATTGGCTTGGTCCGACCTGGTACTGCTCTGGAGTTGCTAGAAGCCCAAGCAGCTACTGGCTTTATCGTGGATCCTGTTAGCAACTTGAGGTTACCGGTGGAGGAAGCCTATAAAAGAGGTCTGGTGGGCATTGAGTTCAAAGAGAAGCTCTTGTCTGCAGAGCGAGCTGTCACTGGGTATAACGATCCTGAAACCGGAAACATCATCTCTTTGTTTCAAGCCATGAACAAGGAACTCATCGAAAAGGGCCATGGTATTCGCTTACTGGAAGCCCAGATTGCCACCGGTGGGATCATCGACCCGAAAGAGAGCCATCGTTTACCCGTTAACATGGCGTACAAGAGGGGTTATTTTAATGAGGAACTCAACGAGATCCTGTCAGATCCGAGTGATGATACCAAAGGCTTTTTTGACCCCAACACTGAAGAAAATCTTACCTATCTGCAACTCAAAGAAAGATGCATTAAGGATGAGGAAACGGGGCTCTGTCTTCTGCCCCTGAAAGAAAAGAAGAAACAGATACAGACGTCACAAAAGAATACCCTCAGGAAGCGCAGAGTGGTCATAGTTGACCCGGAAACCAACAAGGAGATGTCCGTTCAGGAGGCCTACAAGAAGGGCCTCATTGATTATGAAACCTTCAAAGAACTGTGTGAGCAGGACTGCGAGTGGGAGGAGATAACCATCACGG